TAATTAGTAATTAGCTTTTATCGACTAAAAATATTTACAATTGTACAGTCTTTGTGTTATTTTTAAACTCTACAATTTATCCGCGCTTTTTGATTTTTGTCAAGTTTTGACGATTTGAAGCTCACATTTCAAGAAACGAAATTTTGAAATGAGGTTTTAATTCGGGATGTTCAAGAATCAAAACAGTTGAATCGCACTGCAAATTTTCAACGAAATTCCACTGGCATAAAAGTGAGATAAATAGCTCACAACTTCTCTCTGGGTTTCAACAAAATGGTATTTTTAAAAACTTTCCGATTTTTCGACTTGCCAATGGAAAAACTGCGCTCCTCAAAACAATAGCCTCCTTTACGTTAAGAGCTGTTTAGGAAATACGTAAGCTACAGAAAGAGAGATGGAGGTCTCGTGGGGGGAGGGGAAGGGTCAAACCCGGTCTTACATAAACTTACTAATTTAAGAAAAAAATAAAATTTTCCGATTGAAATAATTTGTTTACCTATTTATTAGGCTTCCTCCTTCACTCATTGAAAAATGGGTGAGAACGAAGGGAGGTTAGGTCAGTCTTACGGAATTCAAGAAGGGGGAGGGGTGGGCGAGAGGGGCTCAAAAATTCGGCGTAAGAAGTCCCTGACGTAATACTTGAACGAACTGGTGTAAAGTTTGTTTTCCCTCGGTCTGTTAAAAAATTGAATGGTTTTCAGGAAAATGGCAACAGGGTGAAAGATCCACCCCGGTTGCGATCGGTTGCGTAAATTATGCACCCGTCGGAGCGAGAAGTTAACCTTGAAACGGACCAATGGAGAGGCAAGTCATTTCCTCTCGACTTGTCAAATGAAATGCGAATCCCACGAAATGGACGAATGAGAGGAAGACGGCGAAAAAGAGGAAAAGAAGAAAAAAAAGAAAAATCAAGAGAATTGAAAACCGGACCAGATTAGGACCTTCTTTGTCGAGGCACCCGATTCAATTAGATGCCTAACGATCTTCTTGCATCCCGCGAATGCAGCGTCGCGTCGTAAAATCCGATCGTGCAAGGTTTTTTTCTGTCATTATTCTATTTTTAAATTTCAAGCATTGTCGGAGAAGCTGCGAGGATTCAGTTTCGCTTTAATCCAATTTTCCGTCATACTGTCAGATTTACAGAGGACAAAATCTGAGGGGCTTAATTGCATTGCAACGTTGCACGCTTTGGCTCGACAATTTATACTCGAGAAAGGTTGCATATGTTGCTGGAAATGTTTAAAATGGTCACTGAGGGATTTTTTCCTGACCTTTTCAGCTGTCTTAAGCGGATGCTGCATAGCAGAAGACTTGAAGTAAATAAGAAAATAAAAAAAAAATCGGGCTGACAGTCTCTAGATCAATCACGAAGGAATCTTCGTGCAAAAAATAATTTTCCAAAATCTTAAGAAAAAGCAAAAAGTACTCTTTCCATTTTGCTTTTAATGTATCCATTGCAAGCAATTAGCAATCGCCAGCAAATTGAAAGCCATTTAGGTTGAATAGAAAAATGTCAAAATTAAGGGATAAATATACGGTATAAAGTACTACTTAATTATTATGCTTTGAATCGAAACAGAATTTTTTCACTTCAGAATGTATGATATCAATTAGCACACTCGATTGCACGCGCAGTAAAACTAGTGCTATTATTCCGGTTTGGTTCAGATAGGCAACTAAACTAACTGCTTGGCAAAGCGGAGAGTGTCACAAAAACTGAAGGCGCTGTAAACCGGGATCGTGATCTTAACAAATCATTACTGAATCGATGCGAATGATTTGAATTTGACGAACACGCATGCTGCCGGTGCCTGCGACATATCGAAATCGATTGCTAACCGCAAACAGTACTTTTGACTTTGTTTTAATGTTTGGAATATGATATTTGGCACAAACATTCCTTCGATTTGTAAAGTGAAATTTCGGTCCTCTCAAAATAATCCACCTAAAAGTAAAATCAATCGTACCCGAAATGCATTGTGCAAATATTAAGGATCCACCTCAATTCTTTTAATCTTGATATTCACCCTCCAATCCCGACTGACGAAAGCTGACCTATCAGAGGTGGTCAGAGCTTAGGACCAAAGTTCGTAGGGCAACAAAACTGACGTGATAGCTAAGAGAGCAGTAAGTGTCAAAAGTTCGAAATCGAGTTTCCTTTAAAATTCGTCTTGTCTCTTTTAGATGAAATCACTGGAATAGCTAAAATATTCATCTTAATTATGTATAAAGACGAGACATATGAGAAAGCCGTAAGTGCGCAAAAAAATATGTACTTTTAGGCAAGACAGTAGTAAGTGACATTATTCTTCCAGAGAGTCAATGAAAACAGTGCTTTCAAGTAAAAAACCGCCCTCTTCTGCCAATTTCTAACCCTAAAAAGTGTTTGTTGTGTGTTCAAAACGCAACTATGAAAGCATTGGGATGGCAGCACTTACGACTGTCTTGTCTAACATTGGCCCAACATGACAATAAAAAATACCCTTTTCATGTAATTGAAATAAAATCGGTCGATAACTAATCATCAAAACGATTTCTAAGAGTCTTTCGGATGATAAGTGGCAGTTTGACAAAGAACGGAGGCTTCTTCCAATACAATTTTCCGGTCAGATGCTTCTTAGCCGTTTCTCAAAATTCATTTTTGCACTTACCGCTCTCTTCGCTATCACGGTAGAAAAGATTGATCTGCAAAACCGCGGCCTGACGTAGAAAGAAAGAGGACCGACCCATGACAGGGAGAGGGCGGGCACGGTGCAGTATATCCACAGCCACACAGTAAAAGCGGGCGACCTTGGATACGCATACGCGGGCTCCATAAAACCGTAACACTGTTCAAGCTCCGCGCCTAACGGTCAAATAAAAGTCGATCAGTTGACCGGTTGCTGACCACAGATCATCCTCCATCGGCCTTTCCTAACCGCGAGCTTCACGCACCCACGACACTGCCCTGATAGAAAGAGAGCAGTAAGTGCATTTCTGTATGAGCCATGATTAGCACATGTTTTTATGTGTCTTGAGGTCAGTGGCGTGGCGTGCATTGCGATATATCGATTGATCTGCCATTTAAACCTATGGAAAAAGATCGATATTCAGGGTGTTCGCAACGAACACCTTTGTAATCGATTCTTCACCATACCTTCAAATGGGGATGAAATATCGATAATCGATCATTCACGCCACGCCACTGCTTGAAGTTCATCTCAGCTTGCACATACTGCTCTCTTCGCTATCACGGCAGGACGGAAATTGTGTCATTGAAGCCACCGTGCCACGCTTGGCAGGGCGTCAATATCAAGCGAGGAAAAACGCCGTAAGAACATTTGGACGTTGTACAATCTCTACCCAGAAAATACGATTTTTTTTCGATTTTTCAGAGTCCTATTTGAAATTCAATGCACTCCTCTGACTGAAACAAGGAGAAATGTTCACTTTTCTCCTTCAAAATTGATGTTTTACTTGGAGAAAATGTTGTAAATTCATGCTCAAAGAGGTTTTTTTTTAAGGGGGGACGGTTCAGTCCGTCCTCCACCCCCAAGTTATAGACGAGGGAATGATCCAACGAAATGCACCATACGTTTTCTGGGTCTGTACCTCCTTCTGGTTTAGAATCTCTAAGAGGCTCCTGCCAGAATGCTCGATGGATTCCAACGGTGAGAGCTAATCGTCGGATCAATGGTGTCTGCTGAATGCTGAGCAGGAACAAGACGCTGGACGTTAAGTGTTGACGTAAGCCGTGGAAAACGTGTCGTACCGTCGCGTCCCGCCATCATAACGGAAACACGGATTAACCTCGTATCGTGAAACCTGAGGATCTCGTGAGAGGACCAAAGTCCAGGTCAAACGGATGCATCGGCGGCTACGGGCAGGGACTTAAATCGAATATCCTAGGTAAGTACGTGGCTACAGATGAAATACAGTTGCTGCTGCTTCCGTGAGCAGTATTTTTGCAGTGTTGACTGTAGCAAATGTTACTGTTCTAAAATCCTAAAAACGGTATCGAATACTTGATGGCTATCAAATAATACCTATTCAGAGCCTTAGATTATTTAATTCAGGGACTTCACATTGTCCACCGTCCCATATCGTCACCCCCCGGCCGAAGTATTACAAGCACCATGCGACGTTAACAAATTTCCGCCGCCATTTCTTCTTCATTTTTTTACAGAGAAATTGTTCAACGAACTTTCCCCAAAATTTCACCGAATTCTCTGTGTGCTGCCGATTAAATTTAGTGAAATTTCAGGTTCAGCCAACAATTTCTCTGTAAAAATACTCTGTTTTCTCTCTTTTCTCTGCTATCATGAACGTTATTTTAGGGGACCATCCTTTTGTCTGGTGATGATTGATGAGGAACGTTTTAAGGAATCTAAAAGCCGGAGGGTCTAATTTATAAAAATGTACAATTGAGGAGCTTGAAGGACATTGCGCACAAGTGCAGTTTTTGAAAAAATGAGATATTAATGATGCCAAAGAAAACTAGTCTTAATGCATCTTCTGTGAAAAAATCGCTCGCAAATTCCAATTTTCAAGTGACAAAAAGTCAGTTTGAACTTTCTTTCCGCAATAAGGATCCATGTAATTTCGAAACTTAAACCCCATAATTCTCGAAATAGAAAAAACTGCACTTGGGCGCCTTGTCCTCCAAGCCCCCCACAGTTTTTAGTTTTTTCAACATGTGAAAAAAGGGACAATCATCACAGGGCAAGGATGAGCGTTGACTTCTAAAAAGTCCTATCTGCCTCGATCAAATCTGAAAATAATTGAAGGGTGTGCACCTCAGATTTTTCAATTTGTCAACAGGGCCTTAGGCCCTGAGCGTGGGTTCTCATTGCGTTTTCACTCTCAAAGATTTCATCGCCTTTTTCCCTCTTCAAGTTCTTTGAATATTATTGATCGACTGAAGACATGAGCTCATTCATCGAAGATGAGAGTCCACATAATGACTACATGCTTGCTTGCGGGAGAAAGGAGGAAAAAAGTAAGAAAAGCGTGAGACTCACCACAAAATGGCATTTCTCCTTGCCATGTTCCTGAGGTACCGCATGTTATCGTTGACGATCTGAAACAAGACATTGAAAATCACTTTTCAGTACGAAAAATTGGCAAACAAAAAATTATCTGAATGAATGCGCCTAAATGGAAACTGCCAGTTTGGCTCCTTAGTCCATCATTTTCCGCTTTAGTCTATGAAAACTGCAAGAGTCGCTCCATTTTCCCTTTGTCTATCGCTTTGTCTATCAATTTAAAAATCAGCCCGCTGAATTACTCGGTTACCCAAGGTTTATTTCTCCGTGAATGCTGCTTAGTGCAGTCCAATCCGACCATCGCTCAGAGCAACCGTGCCCGAATGGGTAACCACTCTACAACTATTACGAGTAGATCCAGTGCTGGAGATAACATCTCTCCTACCCACCGCACCGGTTCGGGTGCGGTTTTGCATTTGATGAAGGGACCGTTTTCAGGTTTCGGAAGTCGGGTTCCGCGGTTTTTTTTACGACGCTCCGTACACGGGAAATTAATTATGAGTGCTTTTTATTGTTTTTGGGTCCGCGCAGCACAGAGTAGCACAGAGTTGACGACCGAAAATAATCCTGAGAAACGGGCACACACGTAACCTAACCGAATGAGCCTTCCGCGCATTCACGATCCGCGCCCGAGCGGGGCAAAAAACCGCGTGTGAAAAAACACCGATTCAATTTTGGTTTTCTCATGCGTTCCTGCGGGCGCTGAACGCTGATGCAGCTACGAAATGCAAGCATATCGTGTAGTTGCGAGCACTGCCATGCTAAGGGAAAACGCCGTACGAGCCTTCAAACGTTGCCAGATTCGCTTTACTAGAAACCGAATCGACTGGAAACATTTTGAATATTTTTTCCAAATTTTTCCGATAATTTTGTTCGCAGCTTGATCTAACATATCGACGGTGAAACTACCAAACCACGTATCTCGTTTGCGGTGTTTAAAAATCTACGCTCGCATTTTATTTTTTTGAAGTAGACCAAATCAATATCATTCCTTAAAATTTTCACAGAATTTTCTCCGCACGAAGAGGAAAAATCACAGAAATTTTCAAGACTGGACGTTTAGTAGTTTTTCATTTAAGAAATAAAGTATGACAGGAAGTCTGCGATGTCGCAAACCGAGATACGTGGTTTGGTAGTTTCACCGTCGATATCCGATAATTTCACGGAGAAATATGCATAACTTTTCTTAGAAATACATGCTTTTTCCGGAGAAATTTGGCAACTCTCGAGTGTTCATACGGCGTTCTTCCTTAACACGGCAGAGAAGGTGTGTTTGAATATTTGAAACGTCTGGTGTCGATTCTACCGTGCTAAGGAAAAAAGCCGTATGAGCCTATACACGTTGTCAAATTTCCCCCGAAGAAATACGACTGAGAAGGGGAAACTTACGAATCTTCCTCTCCAAATTATGTCAGAGAATTTTGTTCGCAATCCGATCTGAAGTGAAAAAAAATTAGGGGAAATTTTTACAATTTTCCTCCAAAATACACATTTTTTCCGGGAGAAATTTGGTAAAATTCAAATGTTCATGCTGCTGATTTCCTTAGCGTCGTTTCCTATAAGAAAGTATTTAACTACTCGTCAACGTTGTAAAATTTCCATTCGCGGATAGTATTCTTACCAGGAAACTATCGTGCTTCCCTAACTAAAAATCACTAATTTTTCCTCTGATAAAACTAAAAAATCAGCAACATTTTGGACAGAAGAGGCGTTGGGCACAGAAAGGGTTTTTTGTCGCGATATTCCAGCATCTCCAATGGTAAAACTAAAAAATCAGCAACATTTTGGACAGAAGAGGCGTTGGGCACAGAAAGGGTTTTTTGTAGCGATATTCCAGCATCTCCAATGGTACTTCAGAAAGGATGCTATAGGATGAACTTCCTGAAATTTTCCGTTCAGAGGGTTGTAAAATCATAAAAAACATCCAGGGAAAGTTTCAAAGAATAATTGCATACATTTGCTTTGACCATAATGGATGAAACTTTGGCGAAGTGAGACACCGAAACTGAGAAGTACTCTCTCTGCACCTAATACTTGTACCCAGTATTTGCATCCAGTAATTGCACAATCATTTCTTGTAAAAAATTGAGGTGTTCGAGTCAGTTTTGCAACCCTGGAATGGAGTTACGTTCCCTCGTTAGGAAAACGTCGTGTTATGCCAACGGTATGGTATCCATGTGAACTGTTTCTCTCACGGAAGAGTGTTATATTATTGTTAATTACAAGCGGGCTCTAACAAGAATTTTGGGGTCTGAAGCCTGGGAAAAGATGCAGAACCTGTCTTTGTCACGTGGGGAAGGACCTTAGTGTCAAAGAACTCAAATTTGAGCTATTACTCGAAAAAAAAAGGTCATTTACGAAAACTTATCATTTCAGGATGCGCTTTTTGGTTCGGATCGATCACCTCGTTTAACAGTGCCGAGGTTCTCTGTCGTGCTAAGGAAAAACGCCGTATGAACATTCAGCTGTTACCATACTCCTCGCCAATTAACATTCATTTTTGAGGAAATTTCCGAATATTTTTCCTTTAAATTTTCGGATACTGCAGATTAAATTGCAAATAAAATCATCAGAATAATTGAGGGAGAAGCATTCACAAATCATCTTAAAAGTCGTATTCTATCGAGGGAAATTCAGCAACGCATTAAGGTTCATACGGCGTTCTTCCTTAGCATTGTAGTTCTGTCCGGTGGATTGAAGGTTCAGTTCAACGGACCAAAGTCTCAGTTCACTGAGATGAAAAACTTTGGATGATACTGAAACATGACTAGATGAGCTGAAGTTTGTTGGTTTCTGGAGCCGATTTTTATGGTTCATCGAATCGGGGTCTGTCAATCGAAGAAATCGGATTGCTCGCCTGAGGGCGCAGTTTTGTGGACCGAAAAGCACCCACTGAACTTATCAGTTTGTAAAACCAGTATTTTTTAGAGCTTTGAGGTGCTTTGTTGACAATTTAAAGAGATTTTGGCACAAAATGCGCTTGAAAAATCGAATCAAAGCCGGAAAACGATTTGAAATTTGCACTTTAAAAAATATAGTTTTGAGACCAAGCTATTAGAAATTTTGATTTATGCTACGTTCGAAGCCCAAAATTGAATTCAAAAATAATTAATTCGATTAAAAAACAACCTTAAACCCGCGACCAGTGAAAGTTTAACTAAACTGTTTAGCGCATTCAAGATTACAGCACTGAGAAAAAGCTACGGCTAATAAACCAATTAGTGCTTCATATGGAACACCTCTAATAGTAGTAAAGGCAACATTTAATAATAGCAAATAGACCTTAGTGATGGTATATATACCTTAGTATGGTCCACAGACCGAGAAACATCAGCTCATTTTTGACAATTAGTGGTGTTCCATATGAACCACTGATCGGTTTATAAAGCCATGGATTTTTCTTCGTGATGGAGCAGGGCCGGATAAACCTACTTGCCGCCCATGGGCTGCCCGTATTTTTCCGCCCCCTTCTCATTTGTTTTGAAACATCAATAGATCGTATTCGACAGTGCTCCGATATATCGTTTAGTTCAAAACAATAGAAGATAACCTCAAACAAAAATTTCAGGATTTAATTCGGAAAACCTGAAAATGAGAAAATTCCTGACAATTTCACTTTTCATTGCCAGAGAGTAAAAATTCAATCACATAAGACCCGTTACCTCAGATATCTAAATTGACTTTTGAGGCTGTGGTTACATATTGAACCAATCGATCTCTTTTACTCTGAGGAAATGAGAGATGTTGTCGTCTTTTCTTGTTTGTAATATATTTTCTGAATCAGATTTTTTTCTCTCTTTTTTAATACCTACATTCAAAAAGATTGCAAAATTTGCCGCCCCCTACATTTTGCCGCCATGGGCCGCGGCCCATTTGGCCACCCCCTTAATCCGGCCTTGTGATGGAGTATTTGAAGCTTTTCGGCATTGAGGTCCCTTTTCTGCAAACAGTTACAATAAACTAAAAGTAGCACATTGAGTGTAAGAGAAAAATCCGTGTCGAATTATATTTTTTATGAGTGGGTCCTGACCTGAATAGAGAGCGCAAAAATGAAACGGTCAAATGACGTTTAGCTGATAAAAAGTGGCATTAAATTATCACCTAATGGGGAACTATTAATTTTAGCGGCCTTATTGGAGTGTAAGAAACGGGCCAGAATTGCTCCGTTCGGCCTTATTTTCGGTTATTACGATTGATTATGACATATTGGTGAGTATCGATCAGCGATGACCAGCCAGACAATTATTTTCAGAACTGTTGTGACTGCCCTACATCGTCTCCGATGTCCGATTTGGGGGCGATGCGAGTCAACGTGCCAACAATTACGCTGCCGTGCTAAGGAAGAACGCCGTAAGAGCCTTCAGACGTTGCCAAGTTTCCTTCGATAAAAACTTTTATTACTGGGAAGTTTGTGATTATTTTTTTCCAAAAATTTCAGACAATTTTGTACGCAATTTAATCTAAAATATCTGAAAATTTCAAAGGAAAATGAGCATGAATGTCGTCAAAAATACAAATTTATCGAGGGGAATTTGACAACTCTGGAATGTTCATACGGCGTTCTACCTTAGCAGTAGTAGGTATTCTTCTGTCCTAAGGAAGAACCGCGAATGAGCATTTAAAAATTGCCACAACTGCCCTAAAAAGGATTTATGTACATTGCTTGTTTCAAGGAATTTGGTTTCGGTTTAAAACTTAACAATTAAACGGAGCAAGGATACGTTAAGCATTACAGTGCAGTGGGAAAAGTAGAAAAAACAAATGAGTAATGGGAACGGATTTTGAATAAGAGAGTTAATTTTTACAAATCGATGGCCTAAGTGCAAAATCACGTATCTTCGTTCGCGACACTGCAGACTTTTTTTAAGAAAAAAAATTAGTCAACGTAATTTTTTGAAATCTTCTCTGATTTTGCTTCTTTGTCAACAAAACGCTCTGTACAAGTATTAAACTATAAAGTTGACTTGTTTCTCCAAGAAAAAATTAAATGGGAGCGGAGATTTTGAAACACCACGGAGAAGATACGTGGTTTCGC